AGAGAGAGAGAGAGAGAGAGAGAGAGAGAGAGAGAGAGAGAGAGAGACTAAATAAGACAAAGTTTTGAAAAGGTTCTTAAACTTAGGACTTGTCGTATGGTCTTTTCCCAAACTTTTGTGACCAGATTTATTTTATAAATTACCCTTAGGGAAGATATTGTATTTCACAAAAAAAAAGAATTTGGAAAATGCTGATCTAATTCATCAGTGAATCCAAGTGTTTATACCCCTACCATATATATTCTGGCTACAGAAAGCTATGTTAAATATTGAAGAACCAACATGATGGGCACCCAGAAACCACATTTTCTTCTATAATTTTTGGGAGTGGAATTGTATACATGGTGTTACTCCATGGAAGTCCAGGGATTCTGGTCAGATTCAAGACCTACTCTGCACTTACTGATTTTTGGCACCTTGATTAAACTGTTTAACTGTTTTGAGGCTGAGATTCTTTATTAAAAAGGGGTAATGATTAGTAACCACCTCAGAGTACAGTTTAAGTGACACAATGTATGCACACACAGGGCAAAACAATGACAAATATGCATGGTAGTTCCTCAAAAATATAGTCTTAATCTGTATTATGATCACTGTTACTCAACAAAGACAATTCAAGCTGACACCCACCAGCCAGCAACAAAACGACTCACTTAAAACTTTAAGGTCCCTCAGGATGCACCTGGAGCCTAGCTGCTTTTGTGTCTGCATATACTTGACCATATATAATTGGAACTGGATCCAATAATTACCTATATTCAACTGACAGAAGTCTGGAGAAACTTCAAAAAATTTTAGAAAGACCTGGTAAAATGAGATCATTGATATAAGAAAATAGCTTGAGTCTAATGCTTAACAAACCAATATCAAGGAGAATCAGGTTATATTCAGTGCAAATATTATTATTACCAAGTTCAAAAGAGTTCATATGTATTTAGTAATTTTGAGCTGTGGATCTCAAGCTCTTCCACATCCTAAGAAAATGACATATTCTAACCTAAAGTTAAAATAGACTACTCACATTTCTCTTCTAATAGATTGGTACCCACTGCCTTCATCACATCCCCAAAAGATTTCTTTCCACAACACGGGCTTTCTTGGTTTTGATATTAATAGCTTCCTCTGCGTCACACAGGCTTAATGAATGAAATATTGTATCAATATAAAAATAAATAGAAAATTGAGTTTAATTCATTGTGTGTGTGTGTATGGGGGGGGGTTGTTTGTTTAACTTGTAAAATACCTTTCAGAAAATGATTTCAAAAAAACATTTTACAAGGTCTTTTTTGTATAATCCATCGAGGGAGAACATTACAAAGAATTCTCTTAAAAAAATAAAATGGTCTATAGTCCATAAAAAAATATAGAGAAAGGATTAAAATAAGCATCCAATGAAATTCAAGCCAAACAAGACCTTTTAACCTAAGGCACATCCCTTAATATTTCTAGCCTAGTGTTCTTAATTGTAAACTGGAGAAAAAACTAGTTCCTAGATGATCTCTTTGGTTCCTTCCAGTTCTATAATCTGATGAGAATGACATTTTCTCCCCATTTCTTTTTTTGTAACTCTGGCTGTACTTCTGAACCTCCTCTAATAAACTTCACCATCGGGTGGAAGATAAAACAAACTCAAGAATTCCATTAGAACATCTTTTGAAGCAGGAAAAGTGTCACCTACTCTGAGAACAGAACTGAGTACTCTGTCATGTTCACTGTGCCCTATGCCTTTGGTGGGGAAGAGGAAGGATTTGGGATGACAAAGTGATGGTGGTGCCTAATGAATGTGAAGCTTGTTGGTCATTAATGCATAAGAATGAATTTACCTTTCACCCTGCCCAGTCACCTAGAATGACCTTGAGTGAATGGAACACAGGAAGACAAGTCTTTACCAGAAAGGAGTGATAGAAGAGAGATGACTAGTAAGATTCCTAAGGATGGGTCACTTTCAGCACCAGGGTGGAAAGCTAGAGAAAAAATTGCAGGGAGCCTATTGGCCAGTATGCAAGAGGGTAAAATGAACAGTGATTGACTGTGATTACTCAAAGGTTCTCAGAGAGCATCTGTTCTTCCCAGCCTCCTTTTCAATATTAAAACATGATTTATAGTCAAGGTGCACATAAGCACACACTTACGTACATTCACATATAATACCTATTGAGCACTTAGTATCTTTAAAAAAAAAATTAGGAATCCGAAGTACTTTAAAAGAAATACATACTTTATGAATTTACTATGAATACTTGAAAAATAATAATATGCATATCTGAGACAAATAGATGTCATTTTCCTTAACAGATAGACATGGCTGCACATTCCTCAGAGACACCAATATTCATGGTGATGAAATTGGTTGCCCTGTTTGTTTGTGCATTAGTAATCCTCATCTTAAGTGTAGAGGAATGTTATCCTCTCAAGGACAGCCTGCCCCTCTTTCACAGTTATCCTAGAGCGACTCCCTGCTTATGTGAGAAAAGATGACCTTCAATAGCTCCCTATTGTCTGCATGATTTCACTCACACGTTTTAGTAGGACTAAAACCTTCCTCCCCTATCATGGCCCCAGGCACACTCACCTTTTCTGTCCCCTCCAGCAATTTAAGTACTTTTGAGTATCTGTCTTTTGCACCTTGCATCTACTTGCCTCATCTGAGAACTCTCCCACCCCTTGTCACCTGAGCTAGTTGCTTCCTTGTGCTCTTTCAGCTTTGGGGTGCACATTATGATCACAGATTTAAATACTGTACCCATTGTACTTTGCCCTCCCCTAAGGTGGGACCATGCCTTTTTGATCTTTGTACCCTACCACCTAAGACAGTGCATACATACATCAGGGTGGGTGCTTGGTAAGTATCTAAAATAATGAATAGTTAAAGAGTGATTGAAAGTAATTACAGAAAAGTATCCTGAGGTAGAGTCTAATCAAAGGTCAAAAATCCTTAGTAGAACTAATAATACAATGGCACTTAATTGGTAAAACTAAGTCACATAGTTAAGCCATCATTTAAAATAATCAAGGAAAACAAAAATGTGTCTGCTGCGGTGGACAGGGTTGTTTGGGAATTCGAAAGGGACTGTGCCATTTGCTTTTTTCTCCCCCAGACTTTGTTGTTTGTTTGTATGTATGTTTTAAACTGGAGTCTTCAGTTGTGTGTACTGGCAAAAGATCATGCCGCAGCTCATCCTGTGAAACCTAAATGATTAGGTCCCAGGAGTTCCCATCAGAGCCCAGAGCATCCCCCCTCCGCAGCCAGCAGGGTGTAGGAAGGTTCCTAGTATCTCTCTAGGGGCTCAGGCAGGTCGCCAGCGCAGCTCTGGCCCGCGCCACCTCTGAGGGTCTCAAAAGCCCCCACCATCTCCGTCCTTGAGTTCTCAAGTTTTTCTCTCTAAAAATGTCATGGATAGTTTTCCTTTGCTTCTGTTTCTTACTTGATTAAAGAAGAAAAAAAGAAAGTTTGACTTCAAGAGGAATGATAGTAACAGAAGGAGCGTCTGGCTTTACTTTTTAAATTCCATCAAAGTTTGTGTTGTGTTGTTGTTTTTCTTCATTTGACAGCGATCCCGTGAACTTCTCCTTCGGGGAAATGGCGCGTCCAAAGCCCGCCAAGCCCAACGGGAGAGCTATACGATTTATTGGAGCAATATTTAAAACAAAACCCCGACAGAAACAAACTCAAAAGAAACCGTACTCTCCATAAGTCAGAGGCATGTGTTCTGATCTCAGCTCTGGGTTTGGCTGTTTTTTAACCAGTGTTAAGAGCAGGATTTTTACACATGAAAATGCATAAAAGAAAAGCAAAGCTAAATCACGCAGTCCGCCGGACTCCTATTCATTATCTCTAGCAGCATATGGGACCATTCTCCTACTTGTCCTCGCCTTTTCTTCCGCAAAAGCAAAAGCAACCAAGCCTGTCCCGCTTCCTAGCAAACCCACTCTTTGTGCCTGAGCAGTGCCTGTGCCACCACCACACTTCCTCCTCCTCCCGCCACCTTCTCCCCCTCCTCCTCCCGCCTGCAGCCGGCTTTTGGACTGGCAAGTAGGCTGCTGGCTCCCTTTGCGTCGGAAAGCGGGTGCCGCGATTGGGCGACGGTCCCTGAGCCTCCAGTTCCGCGTCGGTTTCAAGGCTCCTCCCTCCTGGTGAAAGACAGACTGCGGGGCGCCTGGAAACCGGTCGGAGGGCGCGCTAGGGAAAAGGAGAGGGAGCGAGTTGAGGGATTGACACAAATGGTCAGGCGGCGGCGGCGGAGAAGGAGGCGGAGGCGCTGGGGGGAGTCAGGGCCGCTGGGTTGCGGAGAGTTGCGCGCTCAACGGGGCCGCCGCCACTAACGCGGCGCCGCCAGCCGGGAGCTAGCGAGCCAAGGGCCAGGAAGGCGGGACGCGACCCCGGCGCGCCCGTGCTACCCGGGCTCTCCCGGCGGCCCGCGCTTCATGAACCGCAAGTTTCCGCGGCGGCGGCGACGGCTGCGGGACGCAGAGAAGCAGCCCCGGGAGCGGGCCGATCGCGGCTCGGGCTCGACGGAGGGCACCGGCGAGGAGATCTCCTTGGTCGCGGGAGTAGCCACCGCTGGCCGTGCCACTGCCAGCCCCTGCCGAGCGGCGCCAAGAAAGGAACCGAGAAAGTATGGCTGAGGAGGAGGCGCCTAAGAAGTCCCCGGCCGCCGGAGGCAGCGCGAGCTGGGAACTTTGTGCCGGGGCGCTCCCGGCCCGGCCCGCGGAGGAGGGGAGCGGGATTGCGGGCAGCCACCGCCGTCCCCTAGCTGGCCCCGGGCGCTTGGTGCGCCGGCTGTTACTGCTGCTTTGGTTGCTGGAGGCTCCGCTGCTGCTGGGGGTCCGAGCGCAGGCGGCGGGCCAGGGGACGGGCCAGGGGCCCGGGCCCGGGCAGCAACCCCCGCCGCCTCCGCCTCCGCCTCAGCAGCAGCAGAGCGGACAGCAGTACAACGGCGAGCGGGGTATCTCCATCCCGGACCATGGCTACTGCCAGCCTATCTCCATCCCGCTGTGCACGGACATCGCATACAACCAGACCATCATGCCCAATCTTCTGGGCCACACGAACCAGGAGGACGCGGGCCTCGAGGTGCACCAGTTCTACCCACTGGTGAAGGTGCAGTGTTCCGCCGAGCTCAAGTTCTTCCTGTGCTCCATGTATGCTCCTGTGTGCACAGTGCTGGAGCAAGCGCTGCCGCCCTGCCGCTCCCTGTGCGAGCGCGCGCGCCAGGGTTGTGAAGCGCTCATGAACAAGTTCGGCTTCCAGTGGCCAGACACGCTCAAGTGTGAGAAGTTCCCGGTGCACGGCGCTGGGGAGTTGTGCGTGGGCCAAAACACGTCGGACAAAGGTACCCCGACGCCCTCGCTACTGCCAGAGTTCTGGACCAGCAACCCCCAGCACGGCGGCGGAGGGCACCGCGGCGGCTTCCCGGGAGGCGCCGGCTCGTCCGAGCGAGGCAAATTCTCTTGCCCGCGCGCCCTCAAGGTGCCCTCCTACCTCAACTACCACTTTCTGGGGGAGAAGGACTGCGGCGCGCCCTGTGAGCCGACCAAAGTGTATGGGCTCATGTACTTTGGGCCCGAGGAGCTGCGCTTCTCGCGCACCTGGATCGGCATCTGGTCGGTGCTGTGCTGTGCTTCCACTCTCTTCACGGTGCTCACGTACCTGGTGGACATGAGGCGCTTCAGCTATCCTGAAAGGCCCATCATCTTCCTGTCTGGCTGTTACACCGCGGTTGCGGTGGCCTACATTGCCGGTTTCCTGCTGGAGGACCGGGTGGTGTGTAACGACAAGTTCGCTGAGGATGGGGCGCGAACGGTGGCGCAGGGCACCAAGAAGGAGGGCTGCACTATCCTCTTCATGATGCTCTACTTCTTCAGCATGGCCAGCTCCATCTGGTGGGTGATCCTGTCCCTCACCTGGTTCCTCGCGGCCGGCATGAAGTGGGGCCACGAGGCCATCGAGGCCAATTCGCAGTATTTTCACCTGGCTGCCTGGGCTGTGCCAGCCATCAAAACCATCACCATCCTGGCGCTGGGCCAGGTGGACGGTGATGTGCTGAGCGGAGTGTGCTTTGTGGGGCTCAACAACGTGGACGCCCTGCGTGGCTTCGTGCTGGCACCCCTCTTCGTATACCTGTTCATCGGCACGTCTTTCCTGCTGGCCGGCTTCGTGTCGCTCTTCCGCATCCGCACCATCATGAAGCACGATGGCACCAAGACCGAGAAGCTGGAGAAGCTCATGGTGCGCATTGGTGTGTTCAGCGTGCTGTACACTGTGCCAGCCACCATTGTCATCGCCTGCTACTTCTACGAGCAGGCCTTCCGGGACCAGTGGGAACGCAGCTGGGTGGCCCAGAGCTGTAAGACCTATGCCATCCCCTGCCCTCACCTCCAGGGAGGTGGAGGTGTCCCGCCACACCCACCCATGAGCCCTGACTTCACAGTCTTCATGATCAAGTATCTTATGACTCTGATCGTGGGCATCACGTCGGGCTTCTGGATCTGGTCAGGCAAGACACTCAACTCCTGGAGGAAGTTCTACACGAGGCTCACCAACAGCAAACAGGGAGAGACCACCGTTTGAGACCTGGGGACTCAACCCACCCCCCAAAAAAGCCGGCCCCATGGGATTCATGCCTAGCCTGGTTGACTTTCGCAGCCTCCTTTTAACAACACAGCTCCTGCAAACGCTTCCGTCCCTGGGGCAAACGGACTAGAGGGCCCCACTGCCTGAGGGGTGCAGATCGACCTCTCTTGCCCTCACACTCCGGTACCAGGACTGTAACGCTTTTATGATTGTAAATAGCCTGTGTAAGATTTTTGTAAGTATATTTGTATTTAAAGACTAGCGATCACGCGGTTTTCTTTTTAAAAATTTTAACTGTTTAGGGCGGTTTAACCATTTGAGGCTTTTTTTTCCTCTCTCCCCTTTTCCGAGGACCGCAAAGGAGGTAAAACCAGAGCAGTGTTCCTGCCCATCCTCCTGCGCCCCTCAGTGCCGCCGGTGCACAAGCCTGCTGGGGCGCCGGCGAGTTCAGCACTGCGGGGGTGCGGCCGAGCTGAAAGGCTGGGGTCACTTCCTGCGGCCTCCTTCAGCCTTTCTCTTCCTTTCCTTGCTTGGGGTGGGGCCCTTATGGTACCAAACTCCACAAAGCTTCCAAATCCGGAGGTGGGCCCCCGCCAGTTCCAATTCCTCCCTTTTTCAGTGATGGATTGCAAAGGCACATCCCTTTGACTCTCTGAAGCTCAATTTTTGAGAACCTTCCCTCAACTTCATGGGGTCCCAGGAGTGTAGGGTGTAGACGTTGGCAGTCCCAGCCTCCCTCCACAGTCGCTTCCAACATCCAGACACTCCCTCCTTCCACCTAAGTTGGTTAGAGGATGAGTAAGATAACCAATGCCAAACTTTTTTAAGTCTAATTTTTGATGGATGAGCTCATTTCATTCTCTAGTGTCTAAGACCTGGTATGGGTTTGGCCAGCGTCATGGAAAGATGTGGTTACTGAGATTTGGGAAGAGGCATGGAGCTTTGTGTGGGTTGGGAGAGACTGAAAGTGGGGTGGTGGTTACAAAATGTTAATTCTAATTGCATACTGATGCCTGGCAATCTGCCTTTCAGAGTGAGACAGCCTGCCTTTAGATTTTACCCTTTGGTAAAATGGAAACGTTGAGGTCACCTGGAAAGCTTTGTGAAGGAGTGGATCTTTGCTTTCCTTAACAGGACAGCAGAACATTAGCAGAATATGAAAACTTGAAGGAGATTTCAGTGTAATGGACTTCCTCAAAATGAAGTACTATTTTCTTATTTTTAATCAAATAATAATTAGACTTATATCAGAAACTTTAAAATGTAAAAGTTGTACACTTTCAACATATTATTATTATTATTCTGAGGGAGGAGCAGTCTGCACGACTAATGATAACCTAGTAAGATTTCAAGAGGTATAAGAGAAGGAATAATTGAGGGGCTTAGCTCCTGAAGGCAAACAAAAATATGGGCATGCATGCTAAAGGGAAACCGTGTGCAGATCTATTGCATTAAATCTTGTGTGCTCCTTTTTGGATTTACAAAAATGTGTCAAATGTAAATCTTTCAAAGCCATTTAAAAATATTCACTTTAGTTCTCTGTGAAGAAGAGGAGAAAAAGCAATCCTCTGATTGTATTATTTTAAACTTTAAGAGTTTATCAAAATGCCGGTACTTAGGAATTGAATTTATCTATGTCTGTCATAACCTAAAATGACATTGCTCTTTGAATTTGGTATGCATTTATTCTGTTCACTATCACAAAATCATCTATATTTATAGAGGAATAGAAGTTTATATATATAAAATACCATATTTTTAATTTCGCAAATAAAAAAAAATCAAAGTTTTGTACAAAATTATATGGTTTTTGTGCCTGAAGATTAATAGAGATTGAACTGTCTGAACTATCTTTACATTTTATAGTGTTTCATAACTAATCCAACATTATAAAAATTTAGGAATACAATGAAAAAGCATATCTTTAAGCCTTCAACCAGTCCTTCCAAAGAATAACACTATTTGCATTATTGTGATTGACATTTGTGAAGTCCCAAGAAAAGATCTGTTTTGTTAAGAGTAGAAATAGAAGTCTGAGAATCACATCTTTATTCAAAGAAAATTATTAAAAGATAAGTAATTTTAATATTAAAGCTTTTTTTTTCTTTCAAGGGGTAAATTGACATAACATTTTATAATATGGAGGTCAATTTTTAAATCATCACTTTGACGTGAATTTTATGAGGTATTTTCTTATCTCTTTCATAATCTTGGATTTTCCAAAACCATAAACAGGCAATCAATAAAGGGTTACTGACTATATGTTTATAAGCATTTTAAAACAGCAGTCAGGTTTATGTCTGTTTTGTTGTTTGCTTCTGAAGACTCCATTTTTATATTGTTCAAGGAACCTTCTCCTGAGGAATTTTCTAGTTGGTCTACTCTTGGAATTTATATATTGTGTATGAGTTCATATATCTATATATACACATGCATATAAGTATACACATTAATTTAAAAAATATAAATGCACAATTTACTTGTCATTTCATAATACAGAAATAGTATTATGAGAAATGAAAAATTACAGATGGAAAACTTCAAATACCTTTGATAAAATTATCTTTATTACATTTTCCAATTAAAATATTTTTCGATAAAATAACAAGGGACTAAAATGAAGATCATTGAAACAATATATCTACTTTTGTGGTTATAAGACAATTTTGTAGAAGTCATCACATCTTTCATTTTTTAGACAAATTTTTAAAAACTTAATTGAAAATATAACATGATTTTAAGTAGCAAAATACAATTTTGATCTTTTTTCTGTGATATTAATGTAATATAGTAGATATCTGAATAAGTTTTATTGTATAGTTACTCACATACAAAAATAACAATTTTTTTGGCCAAATTAAAAATGTCTCCCTACTAGGTAGTTCAATTAGATAATTTCTGGGAAAAAGAAAATTTTAAGACTATTGGTCTTTAACCAAGGAGTAAGTGTCAAGCAGTCTTACTGTAGATGTCCTTAAAATGATGTTATTATAAATTAGATGGATAAAGCTTTTATATGCTAGATTTAAATAGTTTCAGAACACATTTTAAAATCACCAGGCTGTTTTAAGTTGTGTGGCATATAAAAAAAAAAGTTGTATTTATTTATTCATGTTGTTGTTTCTTTTAAAAATGATGGCAAAATAGGGCTTGCCTGAAAAATCATAAAGCTGCTGGAGATACTGCCCCATTAGCATGCTGTTCCCATAACAAACACTATTTTCAGATTATTTCTTTGCCTGTTTCATTTAAACCAGCTATTGATTGGAGTAAAATTTCCCCCTTACAGTGTACTTGATTTAGCTTTTGGTGTAAATGTGTGTGTAGTATGAAAACTACTTAATTTTTTTTTTCACTTAAACTTTGTAGAGACAAAAAAAAAAATCATATATATATTTATCTCAGAGCCATTCAATGTCAAATAGCAAGAAAGCTGGGCCAGATTTTTCAGCTTGTCCTGCATAGTCATTTGTCAGCCTGAGTTGACAGTCCTGGTTCTTTTGTCCCCACTATGAGTACCAAAGCCTTCCACTGTGGTTGGATTCTTCCTAAAGTCCAGGTTTAACAAGGAAAGGAAACCACAACGAAGTGTTAGTGGCCAATTAAGAAAAAAATAAACTAAATCACACATCATTTTAGGACTGGGATCACTTTCTTGATGCCATTTTTCAACCTTGATACACATTTTTTTTTCCAAGGCTCCTTATTTACTGTGTGTTTATGTTCAACTTCAGCTACTTTTGCTTTTATTGCTTTCTAATCTCTCTATGGGCTACAGGCCAAATTTATGCAATTAATTGAAACCAGTGGTATGACACTGAATACCCTGAATACAGTTCTGATTATAGTATCTATTAATGAGGATCCAAGAGATTAGAGACAAAATGTGTGTCATTACATATGACTAGAGGTAGGCACCAGTGATGTTGTCACTGACTACTTCACAAAATATGCTAATCTCAAATTCTTGCACAATTAACTTGTAGGAACCAAAGTAAGACATGGATTATATGTGAGAATTCTCTAATTACATGACTAAAAAGAAATTGTAATACTACCTTGAATTTACTACCTTAAAATTCAAGGCTTTTATTCTAAGGCCTTACATTTAAAATGGAGAAGTGCCAAACAAGATAAAATATATTTCTAATATATATATCTATATCTTGAACTGCTGGCAGATGCCATTCCAATAGCCCTTGAAAACAGAAAAACAGCATTTGAGGTTCGATCATAACAAATTTACCTTAAAATTTGGGGCTTAATGGCTTGGGAGGCTGAGACAGGAAGAACACAAATTCAAGGCCAGCCTCAATAACTTAGTGAGGGCCTAAGAAACTTAGTGAGACCCTGTCTCAAAAAAAAAAAAAAAAAAGGCCTGGGGATGTTGCCTAGTGATAAAGCACCCCTGAGTTAAATCTCCAATACCAAAAATTTTTAAAAATAAATAAAAATAAAAAAATTGGGGCAGATAAATTTTTTATTTGCTTTTTTCATATCTTTTTATAAAGCATATGTAAAACCATAGAGATTATAGTCACAAACAACTTGCTTAGAATCTGGCAATTAAAGCAGTCTCTAGGCTAATTTTCCCAAATTGTATCATGATCTGGGGTGACAAGTGTCTATACACAATTACAGAATCCAGTTTCAAGCGTGGTGCATGGGTATAATCTCAGCAACTGGCGGCTGAGGCAGGAGGACTAGGATCTCAAGTTCAAGACCAGTCTGGGGAATTTAGCAAGACCATGTCTAAAAATAAAATTAAGAGAGCTGGGGATATGGCTTAGTGGTAGATGCTTACCTAGAATGTACAAGGACCTGGGTTTATCACCAGTTCTGGAAAAAAACAAACAAACAAAAACAGAATCAAATTACTATTTAGCACTTCCTTTGGGGACTTTTGTGTATGGGTTGATTTGGAACCCTGAATAGGTCAAATAAAATGATTTCTCATAGAAATCTTTTTCATGCAATGTAATGGGTAGACTCAAATAAAATCTAAAAGTAAGGTCTAAAATAAATATATAATAAGTATTCTGTGGGTCACATACAGTTTTATGAATTAAGCAGAATAGGTTGCTTAAAAAATTAGATGCTATTTTTCTATAGAGATTTCTTTAAATGAATCCTTTTTATTTTAAGATGGAAATATTCTAAAGAGGTGTAGTTTTGATGGATAAAATTCAAACAACACTGCAGTTTCTTCAGTTATCACTGATTAGTTGAAAGGAATATTTGTATGATGTTCT